ATTTCTTTGGGACTTGGAGGAAAATAGTGCATCTTTTATAGCAAATTTTGTTCCTCCTGGCATTATGAAATCGGCTCTTCCGGAGCCTTCAATTATTTTTGCATTTCCAGATATAGTAATGACATTTCCTTTGTTTATTTTCAGACTAGAAAAATATTTCTTGTCTGTCAGTATTGTATGTGTTGTAGCACTATCTGCTAAACATATATCTCCTCCTCGATTTGCAGATTTAGCCATACTCATTATCTATTGAAGAACAAAACAACATAGTAAACATTAGAAAATATATTATAACATTATGACTAACAGAAATGATGACACAGATACATAACTATTTTACAAAATGTAGACGCATTATTTATGCATATATGGATTATTACGAGGTTGATTACATACATAAACGATACAACTATATATATGGCTTTTTATTTTTTATTCATACCATCTTCAGGATGCGCAAAACCATCAGCGAGGTCCATGTGTGTAAAATATTTAACACCACCAGCATCATCATCCGAATTGTTTATGACATGATTTGTCTCGACACCTTTCCCTTTCGCTTCTTTAATCGATTTTTGGTAAAGGTCCACCAAGTGTTTAGCCGTGCGACAAGTACGTGACCAATGTCCTGTCATTCCACACCGGTGACATGTGCTTTCTTTCATCCGTTTGTTTGGATGATCATGTGTTCCCCTTCTATTATTGTTATGGTTTTGGAATGAGATTCCTCGACCACCTCCTCTATTCCAACTTCGGCTAACGCCACGACCTCGTCCTCGGCCTCGACCTCGACCTCGGCCTCTACCTCGAAAATAACCACGTCCTCGATTATTATAAAATATAACATTCTCTCCAGGGAATGATATATTTTCTGTAACATTTACTTCAGGAAATGGTACAGAACCTGTCGGCCAAGATGCATGATTTTTCATCAGTAATTCATTATTCTGCTCGGCCAATAGAAGACATGAGAGAAACTCTGAGTATTTTGTATACCCCTTTTCTCGATACTGTTGTTGGAGGATAATGTTCGAGGCGTGCATAGTTGAAAAGGTTTTTTCCAACATCTCATTTTCGCTAATTGTTTCACCACATAATTTCAAAACTGATGTGATTCGGTACATTGCCGAGTTATATTCACTGACAGTTTTGAAATCTTGAAATCTGAGATGAATCCACTCATATTTTGCCTTGGGGAGGATTACCGTTTTTTGATGATCGAAACGGTCTTTTAATTTTTTTCAAAGATCTGCAGGATCTTTGATTGTCAGATATTACTTTTTCAAATCATCATGAATATGATGCCTCAATAATATTAGTTCATTTGCTTTATTTTCAGTTGATGCACTTTTCTCTTTAATTGTGGCACCAAGACCTTTCGATTCCAAGTGCAAATCAGCATCCAATTGCCACGATAGATAATTTTTCCCCGATATGTCGAGGACCTCGAACTCGATATTAGCCATTCTTGCCATTATGACTAAACAGAAAAAAAACAAGCCATATATTAGCTTTATTCATTATCATAGAGAATACAACATAACGAAATGCATGATTACATATAAATTGCTATAATTAGTAACACATACACGAGAGGTAAGACCGCAACGCAAATTGAAAACAAAACTGGGTCGGGATTTTTATCAAAGAAAATACCAAACGTTGCTACTACAATTGCTACAACAAAGAAAATTTTAATAAAATCCATCTTTGGGAGATTTTTTTATTTCGTGGGAGAAGAAGAGAGAAAGATGATTTTGTGTGAGTTGTTTGAGTGAATAAATGAGTGTATTTATAGGGTGAAAATTACTATTCATAGCCGTTGGGGAGGAGCCAAAATTTTGAATTTTTTTTATTTTATTTTTTTCGACCGTTGGGAAGAAAATAAATTTTAAAATTTTGTAATTGATTTTATCAATTTGTATTATAAAACTATACATAAAATAATTTATCAAAACGAATTGTTAAACTATTTTGTAAAATTAATTGATCATGCTATGTATAACTAATTATTGAGAAAACAAAAAAATTATATTGCCGCCCATAAAGATAAAAAAATTTAGGTGGCACGACCGTCCATAAATAATACAATATTTTAGATTAATAATTAAGGCGGCTCAACCGTCCAACAATAACAAATAAATAATTAAGGCGGCTCAGCCGTCCAATAGTAATAAATAATTAAGGCGGGTCAGCCGTCCAACAGTAATAAATAATTAAGGCGGCTCAGCCGTCCAATAGTAATAAATAATTAAGGCGGCTTAGCCGTCCATTAATTTAAACAATAATTAACTGATATTTATATATAGCTTGGGGTTAATTCCACTCAAGCATCAATTAATATGTGTATATATCATTAGAGCGAATATATAATATTACCTTTGTCGTAGAAGAGCGTTCGTGCTGATAACGTGTTATGAAAAACGAAGAAATATAGAAGACCCGAGAATCAGATCGTTAACTAGAAACCGAAATCGATCGTTTGAGAGACCCGGGAACAAGATTTCAATAATTTTCTTTTCTTGGAATTGTGTACAAATGAAGGAGGGAAATGAGCTATTTATAGAAAATCCGAAATTACTGTTCACGTATACGTATTTATGAACAGTAACCGTATGGCGGCTAAACGGTAACCGATGGCGGCGTGAACAGTACCCGGCTGCGCGAACAGTGCCCGGCTGCGTGAACAGTACCGTAGCTTCACTATTCATTTATAACATAAAAGAATTTACAATTTAATTTTCTATTTTTTTATACTTTTCAAAAAATTTTATAAATTACTGTTCACGTATACGTATTTATGAACAGTAACCGTATGGCGGCTAAACGGTAACCGATGGCGGCGTGAACAGTACCCGGCTGCGCGAACAGTGCCCGGCTGCGTGAACAGTACCGTAGCTTCACTATTCATTTATAACATAAAAGAATTTACAATTTAATTTTCTATTTTTTTATACTTTTCAAAAAATTTTATAACTTTTATTTGGTACTAAAAGATTCCTATAAAATAATAATTTTCTCTAAACTTTTTAATTTTATTAATCCATCCCAATTAAATTTTCTTAAAAAAAAAACTGATCCTTATAGCTGACATTTACGACAATTCGATATCAATAATGCTTTCCTAAAGGGTATCTTTCTGAGGAAGTCTGCATGTCACCGCCACCGGGTTTCTCGCTTCTCATCGCCCTCATCATGTGTGTAAGCTTAGGAACGCATCAAGTTTGCGGCGGGTTAAGTAAATATTAATCCAATTGTGTAAACCTTGGTGTGAAAGAGAGGTTTCGAAGGATGAATTGTTAAATTTGATAGAAGATTGTCAACCAGTTGGTTGTTGGACACGTTGTAAGATCTGGTTCTATAATAGAGCATCTCGTCTCTCTTATCTTGGAGTAGTTTTCTTTTCTTCTTCAAATTAGGGTTCTTTCTTCTCAATTCTCTCTGGGATTTCTAGGTTGTATGCGTGCGTTGTGAACTCGATCAAGTATTAGTGGATTGCCAAGCTCTTTGACTGAGAAATAGAATCCTGATCGATCCAAACTCGTTAAACACTATTGTTGTTTCATTTTGTTGTTCAATCTCTACAATCAGATCGAACTCAAGCAGACTCGAGATCAAGATAGTATAAATTTTTAGATTTTTTTTTAAGGCCAATATATAAAACTAAAAGAAAAAATTTGTACGGATATCCAAATACGTTAAATCTATGCTTTTTTCTTCTTTTGCAAATTATACTTTTTTATAGATTTTTGACAAAAAAAAAATACTCTTGTTTTATTGCATAATTTCAATATTGCAATTTAATATTTCAAAAAAAATTACAACATAAAAAATAGATTTTTTTTGGAAAACTGTGTTATTTGAAAAAACTGTTTTTTTTATGTGGAAGAATCTATTTATGTTTGGAAGAACTATTTTGTATACAAAAAACAATTTTTTTATCAAGAAAAACTGTTTCTCGTTCGAAAAAATATTTTTCTCATCCGTAAAAGATTTTTTTTATTTGAAAGAACTGTTTTTTATCCGAAAAAATCTATTTTCGTCACGGAGAATAATTTTTTTCGAGAGAATTGTTTTCATTCCGATGAAAAAAATTCTTCCGGACGAGATACAATTCTCACATAAAAAAAATTGTTCTTTTGGACTAAAATAGATTCTTCCGGATGACAAATATTCCGGATCAAAACAAATTTTCCCGGATGAAATAGATTTTTTCGGACAAAAAATAGTTTAACCGAACAAAAAACAATTTTTCTTGAATGAAAAAACATTTCTTAAGGAGCGAGAGAGTTTTTTCAAATAAAAAATTGTTTTTCATATAAAACAAATTCTCTCACATGATAAATAAATAATTGTCTCGGATAAAAAAATATTTTTCTAGATAATATAATGATAATATTGAAATTATATAATAAAATAAGGATATTTTTTGTCAAAAATTTATAGAAAAATATAGTTTACGAAGAAAAAAAAGTATAGATTTCTAATTACTTGACATATTTGTCATGGTTTATGAAATGTCCCAAAATAAAAAATGGTTTAGATGAAGATAAAAACAAAATAGAAATCTTAAATATTTCGGTAAATTATTTTTATTTTATATATAATTACGGATCCCCTTTTGAAGCAGTTTATGTAGGAAACAAGTAAGATAAAAACAAAAAATTATGGAACCGACACTAATAAAAAATTGCAATTGTGACCATTTTGTTTTTTTTTTTTTTTTTTTTTTTTTTTTTTAAA